ACAGGTATTATATTACTTTTATTGATGATTTCAGCAGAAAAGCTTGGGTATATATTCTTAAAGAAAAATCATAAGCTCTTGAAAAGTTCAAAGAATTCAAAGCAATGACAGAAAAGCAAAGTGGTCAGTATCTGAAGACACTTAGAACAGATAGAGGGGGTGAATACACTTCCAAATTATTTGAAGAATTTTGTAGGCAACATGGAATAATTCATCAATTGACAGCAGCCTACACACCACAACAGAATGGTATAGCAGAAAGAAAGAATCGTACAATTCTTGATATGACAAGGAGCATGCTCAAAGAAAAGCATCTGCCAAGAACACTCTGGGCTGAAGCTGTCCAATGTGCTGCCTATCTATTGAATCGATGTCCAACAAAGAGTGTCAAGTTCAAAACACCAAATGAAGCATGGAGTGGTAGAAAGCCAGAGGTAAGCTATCTAAGAATTTTTGGTTGCATTGCATATGCCCATATTCCAGATCAGAAGAGAAAGAAGTTAGATGATAAAGGAGAAAAATGTATCTTTACTGGCTACGAGAATAAGAGTAAAGCTTACAGATTATACAATCCCCTGACAAAAAAGGTAATCATCTCAAGAGATGTCGAGTTTGACGAAATAGATTACTGGAAATGGAATGATGAAGAAAAAAGAGTAGAAGGCTTATTCTTTAAAGATGATGATAACTCAACAGAGCAAACAGTTGAAGCAGGCAATGATCAGACACCTCCACCAAGTCCTAATCCAACAACTCCTGCATCTACACCTTCAACCTCAGGAAGCAGTAGCAGTAGCAACAATTCAGGGGGAGCAGCAGCAAAGATGAGAAGCTTAAGTGATATCTATGATGCTACAGATACGGTACAAACTACCCTTGATTATTCATTATTTTGTTTAATAGCTGAATGTGATCCAGTGACATATGAGGAAGCTGTAGAAGATGAAAAGTGGAAGAAAGCCATGACAAGAAACATAAAGACAAAGACTAATCAAGAAGGAAAAGTGGAGAAATACAAGGCAAGATTGGTAGCTAAAGGCTACAAGCAGAAATATGGAATAGATTATGATGAGGTGTTTGCACCAGTTGCAAGGATTGACACTATCATACTTCTTACAGCAGTTGCAGCACAAAAGCAATGGAAGATATACCAGATGGATGTGAAATCAGCCTTCCTCAATGGTTACCTGGAAGAAGAAGTCTATATTGAGCAACCACCAGGTTATGTTAAAAAAAGGAGAAGAAGATAAAGTCTATCGGTTGAAGAAGGCACTATATGGATTGAAGCAAGCTCCAAGAGCTTGGAACACAAGGATAGATGAATACTTTCATAATAATGGATTTGTGAAGAGTCCGTACGAACATGCTTTGTACACGAAGAAGAATGAAGATGGGGATATGATGATCGTATGTCTTTATGTGGATGATATAATCTTCACAGGGAATAATCCAGGTATGTTTGTTGAATTTAAGAAAGCTATGACTAAAGAATTTGAAATGACAAATATTGGAGAAATGTCTTATTTTCTTGGAGTTGAAGTAAAACAAACAGAAGAGGGAATTTATATGTTACAAAAGAAGTATGCAGAAGAAATACTGAGTAGGTTCAGAATGAAAGATTGCAAGCCTATTTCAACACCAATAGAAGCAGGAACGAAGTTGAAAGCTGAGTCAGATAGAGAACCAGTAAACCCAACACTATTCAAAAGCCTGGTCGGAAGCTTGAGGTATTTAACTTTCACTCGACCAGATATCATGTTTGCAATTGGTCTAATAAGTAGGTATATGGAGCATCCAAAGCAAGATCATTTCAGTGCAGCAAAGAGAATTTTAAGATATATCAAAGGAACCATCAGTCATGGATTATTCTATACATATTCCCAAGATTCAAGGTTAATTGGCTATGCAGATAGTGATTATAGTGGAGATGTAGATGATCGAAAAAGCACTTCAGGATATGCTTTTCATATTGGCTCATCAATACTTTCATGGTCATCAAAGAAACAACAGATAGTTGCTCTATCATCATGCGAAGCTGAATACATAGCTGCAGCAGCATGTACGTGTCAAGCGATTTGGTTAAAAAATATTTTGAATGAATTTCATTATGAGCAAGAAGGTCCAATTACTATATACGTAGATAACAAGTCTGCTATATCACTTGCAAAGAATCCAGTCTCCCACAGCCGAAGCAAGCATATTGACACAAAATATCATTTTATTCAGGAGCAAGTTAAAAACAAAGTTGTAGAATTGGTCTACTGCATAACTGAAGAACAATTGGCAGATATTTTTACGAAGCCATTGAAGACTGATGTGTTCAACAAACTCAAACATATGATTGGTATGCAAAGTCAAATTTGAGGGGGAGTGTTAGAAATTAAATTTGAATTTTGCCACTTATCTTTGATTCACCGCCACTCTAGAAGTCTCTATCATTTGGTACCTAAATTCCTCCACCGCTAAAAGACTGCACCGTATATGGCTATTGATGGTGATATCAAGTTGATGCATTACACCGCCTGGCCGAAACTTTCTAAGCCAAAAGTCGGTTGCTAGATGAATATGGAAAGTTGTAGAAGTCCAAGTAGTTGTCATATAGCAAAAGTTTAAATATTATATTATATAATGTTAGAAGTGAGTCGGTAGACTAGCCTATATATAAATGTATGATTAGGTGTGGAATTTAGAATCAGAAAGAAAAAAAGAAAAGGAAGGTAGAAAGAAAGAACAGTGCTGCAGCACTAAGAAAGAAAAAAAGAGTGACTGAGTGTTGTAATTTTTCTTTTAGCCAGTTCAAATACAAAAAGATTTCTTCATCTATTATTCTTTTATTTTCTCTAAATTTCCAACATAAATAACAGTGTTCTGTAATAAAGAAATTGTTGACATTACATCAATTTAGGCCTTCCTTCTTCTGATCTGCTTCAGTTGATGGTTTTTCCATGCTTCCATCATAGTTCCCAGGGAGTGAAAGAAGACTCTCTGTATACGCAGCTACTTTAAATCGACTCTGACCATCGGAATCATATTCACAACGTGCTAGCAATTCTCCTTTGTCATTAAATTTCATGAATTCTGCATCAAAACTTAATGCAACAAGTTCACCACCTTTGGCCATGCATACAACGGAAAGGTACCTAGGAATTTCAAGCATAGTCCAAGATGACTGCACTTTATATTCTTCACCTGAGTTTTACGATTGTGTAAACGAGATAAACAGAGACATCCTCCCATAGTTCCCACATAATCATAATTAAAGTAATCTGTGAAATCACCATCTGGCAAAGATATCTCATAAAAATTCTTTTTTATCAAATCAAATGCAAGAATTACTGTAGCTAAGAAATTTTCATCATAAGCCAACCAATGAATAGCATCATTACAGAAAAATGATGGATTATCAATATGATAGTAGGGAATATAGGGCCCCTGCATTTCTTTCAATGAATTGGTTCTCAAAGAGAAAAGCACCAAACGGGTTTCTATATGAGAGTCATACTTAGGCCATAGCATAACTACCAAATAATCATCCGCGGATGGGTCATATCCAAAACCAATTAGGAGTCTCTCTGCTGACTCTGCATTTTGACATTCTTGCCCCATTTCAGAGTATGACATGTCTCTGTGGAAACCAGTTGATGGGTTCCAAATATAAAGATTTTGATATTCTTCTGTTAAATGCGGTCGCTCCATGGAAGCCAGTTCATTTTCTATAAGGACAAACCCTCTGCATGAACCCCAAATCAAAGCATAATATTCAACTAGTTTTGGAAGTGGGGGAACGAGGCTTTTAACTAGTTTTGGAAGTGGGGGAACGAGGCTTACAACGAAAGAATCATCCTGAAGCGATGCATCAACATCGAAGGATCGAGCTTTGTAACCAACACATGTTATCTGGAGAAGCTTGTGAGTGGGTGCGGCAGATAGCTCGTAATGGGATTTTGCAAAGTGAGAGTCAGAGATGAGAGAATGCCATGATTTGCAGACACACTTGAAACGAACCAGTGACTTCACAGGTAACCTCAACAGAATTTCATGAATCACATCCCAGTGGAGGTTACTCTCCATTCTCCTTATGTTTCTGTTTTTCAAACGAGAATTAGGGTTTAGATTACTCACGTTAGAGGAAGGATACATATTTATAAACAAAATCCGGTGAGAATTGTGCTGAGTTGTAATTTAAGATATGATTATGAATTGTTACAATTGGAAAATTAAGATTTAATTATACGTTGATATAATCACGATGCAATAAATTAAGTTAAAAGGAAGAATTTAATTTGAAATATATTTTTCCTTTTAACTTAATTTAAAATATCGTGTTTTTTTTACATTTTATAATTTTTTATTTTAAAATTTCTTTAATATTATGCATAAGGATAACTGTTTTTCTTTTTATCGTGTTTTATCACATCATTATAAGTTATTATTCAGTATTTATTTTCTTTCCTAATATAACAAAATCCCAACAATTTCATCATAAATTTGACCAACTACATATAGTACTAATAAATTTTGATTCATCAGTAATCAAGGATTGAATTAGTTCTATCAAAATTTGAGTGATTATCACTTAATTTTTTTTCTTTTGGGCTGTGAAGGGATGCTATCTATATATGATAAATGGGAAAGGGAACAATATCGTACTTATACGAGTAAGAAAACCATTCAGCAATGGCCCCAAATTATACGTTTTTCCTAAGTCATTCATATCAATAAACATGATCAATTTCTACAAATAAAACTTACATTGGTCTACATAATGGATAATGTTCGGTATTGATATTCATGATAAAATTATTTCGTAAACTCATGATCCTTATATTGTGAAAATCTTTGGGATATCATTATATTTTAGGAAAGATTTCAAGTTTTTTATTCTCAAAAATCGAGTAGTGTGTTATGATTTTTTTGTCAATGTCTTAATCCTTATAATTACTTAATTTTCTTATTTTCATTCTGGGTGTATCGTATATATTATAATTTTACCTCATTATAGAAATCAAGTAAATATAGACGTATATATTTGAAATTAGCGTATACACCTTGCCAACCTATGATGCACACTAGGGGTGTTCATCAACCGATCCAAATCGATTCAAACCGCGAAAACCGAATCGAAAAACCGATAACCAAATAAACCGGAAACCGAAAGAAAACCGCAAATTTTAATTGGATTGGATCGGTTTTCGGATGGGTTGATGAAAACCGATCCAATCCAAACCCATCCAATATATTAATTATCCTCTACCTACTTGTCATTTCTCCAATCATAGCCCAAAAATTTCTAAACTCAAGACCCATTCACTCATCAACTAAACCAAAAAAAAAACTTAGTCACGTCTCATCAACTATAGTATTGTTTACTGATATTTTTGTATTTCAATTTTTTTTTTACAAAGACAATATATACAAAAGATGTTATTTGCACAATAATCATGAAACTAATTTTAGGATATTCAAAAAACCGAAAACCGATCCAATCCAATCCAAACCGAAAAAAATTGGATTGGATCGGATCGAATTTGAAAAAAAATCTAAACCGAATGGATGATTACATGATCAAACCGAAGGGATTGGATCAGATGAGTTTTGCTTCCAAAACCGATCCAATCCAGACCGCGAACACCCCTAACAGACACTGACACGGGACACGACACGACACGCCGACACGTTAATTCTAAAATATATCATATTTCGACCCGACCCGAAATTCGGCGAACCAGTCAACAGACCGTTTCGGGTCAAGCATTGGACCGGTCATGCATCGACCCAGTCAAAACCCGGTCAAAATCAGTGACCCGGTCGAGTCATGCATTTAAAAAAAATTAAAAAACCAAAATTGTTTCATTTTGTCAAAAAAATGTAGAACTCATTTTAAAAACTTTTGGTAATTTTATTTGCTAGTATACTCTTTTACAATGACCTCAAATTTAAGCTTCCAATACTGAAGCAATTTGCGGAATAATAAATTAAGAGAATGTGATATATGTCATTTTTAATGTAGTTGAATTTGAAAAATATGAGTTCAATATAATTGAGAGGTATGTTTATGGAGATTCTAAGTTGTAATTTAAATTTACATAGTAATAGCATGCATTTTCATTTGTTTATGCTTCAAGTTTTTGAGCTTATTTAATGAACTTTGTTTAATTCATTTTAGATATGGAGAATATAATTGAATTTATATATTTGTATTTGTATATATTTTTATATATCTATATATATCCGGGTCAACCGGTCTGACTAGTGACCCACCGATCCGACCCGTGACCTAATAACCCAGTACCCCGACCAGGTCGATGCCCGGGTCGGGTTTAATAACACTAGTTAAGACATGTTTTAATATTAAATAATATTTTTAATATATATAATATAATTTATATTTAATACATGTAACATCCCATAATAAGTCATATAATCAATCAAATATTCAAATTTTATAATATAAATATAAAACAAAATAATTTTTCGTACTTTGTTAATTTTTTAATGTCAAGTTTTATAATAGAAAAAAATTGATTTATAAATTATTTTTTTATGTTTAATTAATAAATCAAAATTAAGACCTAAAAAAAAAAGTGTCAGATGCGTGTCGGAGCGTTAACCGCGTGTCGAAAAAAGTTGGTTGCATGTCAAAAAAACGTGTTGGAACGTGTCAGAGAGTTGATCACATGTCCCAAAATATTGACCGTGTGTCGGAAAAAATTGACTGCGTGTCGAAAAAATGTGTTGGAATGTGTCGGAGAGTTAACCACGTGTCCCAAAATGTTGACCGCCTCTCAGAGCGTCTCGATGTCTGACACGCAAATTTTGCAAAAATTAACGTGTCCATTCTTGTTAGTTGCCAACAAATAATTACACAATGTCCCAATTGAAGCATCTTATATTAGCTAGGCATTAAGGAAAAGTGAATGTGCAAAATAATACTGTTGGGACGAGAATGCAGTAGTTATATTGTGGTAAACCATGCTTGAAAATATTTGTTTTTGTTATCGACTCGTGTGAGATTCATTTATTATCAAGTCCGATAAGGTGCAATTCAAATATAGATGTGTTCTGTGTGCTTTTCCAAATCGTTTAGAATGATATTTAACTGTTCTTCATATGCAGCACAACGTAATTTGCACTTTTGCCTTTCATTGTACAACTCAAGTGATAGCTCATGGGTTCTCTTATCTTTCTCATCTTGTGGCAAATATCATCACTACAAGTTTGAGGAACTAAAAACAAAACAAACAGAAGATATATATTCGTCCTTAGCAACTAACGATAACTATATATTAATCAAATTCTCCAACAATGTGTAACTGCTTGAGATGAGGCTTCCAATTATATAATAAAGTTTTTCAATCATATTTGCAGCGACTTATTTCTTTATTTTTTTTGGGGGTGGTGTAGGGTATAATTGCATGAAATCTCAGGCAAATGACTAATTACCGTATCTTCTTGATGTAATATTTTAAAATTTAAAACTAATTTGTTTAATTGATATACTGATTTTTTTAATTTAAAACTAATGTCAGTATTCAATTTTTTTTGGATATAACCTGTTTGAGGAAATGTTAAAATTAATATGAGTTATTAATATAAGTAATATATTTATTATATATTATTTTGAAATTAGGTTGAACTATTGACCTAGTAACCCAGTACCTCGACCGAGTCAATGACCGGTCTGAGTTTTAAAACACTGATTTTTAGGGTTTAAAAATTTGCTCCTTGCACACATCTCGCTTACTAGTTATGCCACCCCTTGGGATTTGAGTATCGGATAATTTTAATAAACATTCATAACGGTATACTATTGTCACCTATATAGTACAATAGGGTCCCAATATCAATATATAATAACACTATAACACAACACAACAAATATGCATGTGAAGGTACGTACCCCAATCCCTAAAACCCCGTAGCACTCATCATTATGTTTATCGCGTAACCGTCAACATACGTCCTTATCATTATCATCACCGAAGTGGAACTCAGGTTTAGGGGCATGATGCGTTTTGACAAAATTTTCAGCCTATATACTATACATCGTGTGAGAACTCTGGAGAAATATGCTACCACTGTCAATCATATCTGATTTTTTTTATTTCTTCTTTATTCAGATAGAAACAATGAGTTTCTCAATTGGGTAATAGAAGCATCATGTCACAGGATAAATGTTGCATCATGTCACTGACACAATATTTGTGGGGCCCACCGATATAATTTTTTTTTAAAAAAAAAACAACTTAATAAAAAAATATGTATGTGTCTGCAGGAATAAAAATGGGATTCCTGTGACATGACTGCCGCAAAGCCCTTCTCAATTACTTTATAGCCATACCCCCGTGTGTCGAAATTTTTTAATAAGGTTTAGGATCATTATGGTCCTTTCAGTAATAAATTGACACGTGAACTAATTTTTTTTTTTTTTTCTCTTTCTGTCTTCTCTCTTCTTAATTTTTTTTTTCTTTCTCTGATCTTCCTCCCACCAAATTTTTCTTAGGTCCCGACCACACAAAACAAGCTCACATGTGCCGTCCATTGTACATGTAAAGAGGTTTTCTTATTTAACAGCTTAAAAGGAATATGAGATGTATGTGATATGATTTGACATGAAATGACATTCTTTGATGTCCTTTTATGTGCAAAACAACAATGGATAAAGGGGTTTGTTTAGAATATAGTGATTTGAATTGCCTTATTTCTACCCTCTTGACACTTGTTTAAGATGGAAAACGGGAGAAAAATATAATCAAATAAAATTATTGGGGAACAGTAATCAAATTTTCACTGTTCACCAAGTTTTTTATCTAAATGTCACGCGAATAATGTTATTTCCCAATCTGCCACGAGGGCAAGTTCGCTACCCGGTGTAGCGAACTCGGTTTGCTAACGTGTCACGTTTTTAGTGGACACCAAGTACGCTCCACGGGGTAGCGAACTTGGTTTTAACCAAGTTCGTTACCCATGTACCTCCACACTTTTTTTTTAACTTGGTACTTGTTATCCACTAGAAATGTGACACATCAGCAAACCAAGTTCGCTACACCGGGTAGCGAACTTGCCCTCATGGCAGATTAGAAAATAACACTATTTGCGTGGCATTTAGGTAAAAAACTTGGTGAAGAGTGGCATTTTGGTCGGTGTTTCAATTATTGGTTAGTTGTTGCGGGAAACAAGGAAGCACAGACACTTGTAAAAACAGGGTGAGTCGTGTCTGACACGCTCCGACACAGTGTTGGACACGCGGTCAACTTTTTCCGACACGTTGACCATTCCGACACGCGAATTTGACCGTGTCCGACACGGTCAAATGACATTTTCGTAATTTTTTTTTTAATTTTTTTTAAAAAAATTATTTTTAAAAATTAAAATATATTAATAAAGCTTCCACCTGATCATATCAATTTTATTTTTTTGTCTTTTTTCCCCTTAAGTAGATAAGAGATCATCTCAGCATCATTGTTGTCAATTCCTATCACGCTCTTGTTGTATCTCCTTGTCTCTAATCTCTCTCTAATATGATTTGATCTCTCTATATGATATTATACATCTCTCTCATCCCAGTTCTTATTTTTATTATTAAAGCTTCCATCTTTATAACGTGTTGATGGGTATTATTAATTTAGTTTCATTTTTTTGTTAAATTATTAAATATTAAATGAAATATACACTATATAAATTAAAAATATTATTTAATATTAAAACGTGTCCCAACGTGTCGAAATCCATAATTTTTTAGGATTGACGTGTCGGAGTGTCGTGTCGTGTCGTGTCACGTGTCGCGTGTCGTATCGGTGTTACATAGGCTACTGTAACACTTTATGTGCACCCCATGTATTATTATACAAATGATATTAAGTGCAACATAATTAATTGATAATCGCGGAAGCTTACTTTATGATTCACTAATAGGTCTAACCGTAATGTGAATGAATTTTTTTCTTTTTCTAATGTATTGCAACATGCAAATTCGAAGCATTGTCTATCATTCATAATCGTGACGCCATCAGCCTTCAGTCACTAAATAATGGTATTTAATTACATGAATATGGCAATCTCTTACTGTAACACCCCATAGTACTCTGGTTGTTATTATTATGATACATAGTGTACACAGCGGAAGACTTTATTTTAAAAGAATAATAAATCATCTTACGAAAATATGAATAAACTTTTTCCAAAACATTTTATGAAAACCTTTCTAAAAACGTTCACGTGAGATACTGCAAAAGCGTAAATCTAATACATACATCTACTAATTAATCCCCTGAGCCAGTATTAGTGGCCATTGACCATCAAGATATGACATCAAGTGTCATTCCTGACGGAGTCTCACGGACAGCATAACAGCTGTATTTCGGATAACTGGGAACCTGGTCCCACACATACAATTAACCTGATTGATACAATAATTTAAACAGATAGCTTGTAAGTCCCACACGGGCTACAATTTGTAACGCCTGGCAACTTGCAAGAATCAACGATTGTCCCCACATACTAACACGAGACTTTTCAGCATGCTTTGTCCTCACTCGCACACTTCTCGGAAAAACTTCCCAAGAGGTCACCCATCCCATAATTTCTCCAAGTCAAGCACGCTTAACTATGGAGTTCTTCCGTTCCAGGCTACCAAAAAGTAGATGCATCTTGTTAGTATAGGTAGTACCAATTAATTCTTATAAGATATTCCCAACTGTACCGTCCCATACCAGCACAGTCTCTGGAATCCTTCTCTTTCGGGTGTTGATTCGATTCATTCATGTACCCCCGTCCCTAGAAGCCTATCAGGAGCCGCTCCTTGTTTGTGCCCTTTCACACCGGCGATCACTCTCCGCCCTCGTCAGCGCCCAGGATGTTACACAATCCCCTCAATGGGTCAATACAAACAATAAGGCTCCATGCCCAAATTAACTGAATGCATACATCAAGTATATATTAATCCTAAAACATAACTGATGAGACAAAAATATGTGCCCATCTAAGCCCGTTTTGATGGCAAAATACCATCCGTTCCCTCACCTGATGAGCAACTTTAGCACTAAAGACACTTGTTTCATATCTTTGTTACAAAAACACAAGTGTGGAACGGATGATGACGTAATCCTTTGAGAAAAGTATATAAAGGGAAACAGAATGGGAACATTAAATACACCTGCTCCACTAACCCTATCCCTTTGTACATTTTGCAGGTAACCTTAAAAAGAAGCTTCCATAAAGCATAAGAGGTACAACAATCAAGTGGGAAGAAACGTGCACAGCAGGGAATAACGAGTTCCTATTGAACAAGAGGAAAGCAAGGCATAGGGGACTGCAGAAGAAAAGGCAAATCTCAACATCAAGTGTCCCATCCAAGCAACTTGCGTCCCTCTGAGCATTGTTCACACCGCATCTTTCATGCAGTCGAGGAAACAACTCAGTGGAAATTACAAGTTTTGCCATCCACTCTTCTGCCTATAAAAAGGATGTCCTAGCACGAAGAAGATCATCGAATTCCTTAAGAAGAGATCACTTAGTTTATTTTGTAGTTTTTACATTTCTGTTGTATAGTTTTAGCAATAGTTAAGTGACAACACTTCTTCTCTATTCTGTATCACCCACTTGAGACTCCTCACGAGCAATAACCATACTTCTCCACTTTTCATTTTATTGTAACCTATGTTGTTTCCGGTTAAATATACGTGTTATTTCTCTTCTTTTCCACTCGTTATCTCTGAACTGAATCTCGGGTATATGGGATTTCAGTTTGGAATAATTGTTTAAAGTAGTAGCCATGGGCTAAGTTATCTGTGGGACAGAAAAACTGTAGAGTTCTTAAAGAACTATTTTCAAAACTCTTGTACTAAAGCTTCTGTATTTTTCTGGTTAAGTGAGCTATATTCATTGTGCATCAATGGAAATTGAATACATACTGAGAACTTCCATAAGGAAGGGATTTCAGACAGCTTAACCAGAGGGGGAAGGTAGTGCTGTGGAAACAACACTGCTGGTTGCCTTAGGAATAAGGGACCACCTCGTTCACTGAAGGTCCTGTGCTAAGTAACTGTTGGAGTCAAGGGAGCCATAGGAATATGGAAACTTGTGAGCCATTTAGTCCATGAGCTCAGGAATCAGAGTTGGCAGTGAAGAGACTGGAACAAATACAAAAGTGGTAAGTCTTGAGTAGAGAATATAGCTATTTAAGAATGGAACAGTGGATCCGTTCCTTCTGTTATAAACTGTTTTTATCACTCCATCATGATGTCTCTTAAATATTGCTATTATTAGTTTTATTATTTTTCTTTATTCAATCTTATATCTGTAAATCTCTCATAAATATTGTTGTTCCTTCTCTCAACAAGAAGGATATCATACATAACGAAGCGAATAACTGTTTGCTGTCAGATTGAACCTACTGTTCTTGAGGAACGTTGTCAAGACAGTAGGGAACGTTTGACCAGACAGGTCATTTACTAACTTCTCTTTTCATTCTTTTTAAAATAGTTTAAGGCATTGATTAGAGTACTATCCTCGTGGGAACGATAATCTGGGCACTAATAGTCTCATTTATTACTTGATGCGTGCACTTGCGCACTTGGGTTGAAATCAAGAGAACGAAAGTGTTTTCTCTTGATGAACTAAAAGTAAAGGAACGTTCTTCATCATAATATTATAAGCAACCAATAAGTTCACACCCAACAATAACATCAGTAATTCATCCATGGCTCTAAGGATACAATCATCAGCCTAAATAAATCCATAACATAATCTCAATACAATATTTAAGCATGTTAACAAATCTACATGCCGTCATAAGTCTAAACATAATATAAAATATCGGCTGCATCATTAACTACTCCAATGTGGGGGCCTTTCCCCTAGAAGCATCACCACTACTCTAGGTAGCTGAAATGTTGTCCCAAATGGGTTGAGATAACAACATCTCAGTAAGCTCAAGGTTCATAGAGGATCCTTTAATCCCCTTAGCACACTTCCTGCATGACAAGTCAGATATAAAGCATATAATACAGGCATACAACATAAACATAGCATTATCATATCATCCTTGTGTAACCCCAGGGTCAAAGCCATAGACGGTTACACATGTGTGACTTCCAGGGCCAAGCCATAGACAGTCAACACAACCTCAGTATGAAATAGCTCCCAGAGTCAAGTCATAGGCAGGCTACATACCATGATTACTGGCTAGGATCCTCATAACATATATCGTCCGTGCATCATCATAACATCAAGATTATATAACATCTATATGAATGGGAATGAATGCACATATACATCATACCATATACTTTCATACAATACAACCATAATGCCCACCATCATGGTGGGGCCACAAGAGAGAGGATGCAACTAGAACTAGGAGCTTACCTCACTGAGCTTATCAACAGCCCAACTCCAACAGTCCAATACGTATGCTCCAGTACACTCTCAAGTGCCAAGCTCTCTAGGCAAACCTAGAGCAGGAACCATTCACATCATTAATTACATATTAATTAATCAAGTCATATCCACGACTTAATCATTTAATGATTCCACTTTTCATACTCATATGCCAATAATATGCCCATTACAAGTCTAGACCAATTATTACATAATTACGTATTTTAGTGCATTATTACAATCTACCTAAATCTTCAATTACTTACATAGCTTAGTGTTGGGTGGTTTGCTGATGGTGGAAAAGTATAAGTTCTTATAGGGGACGTTCTTCTGTTCTTGCAGAACACAGATTCGTCCCTCAGTTCCAACCCAAGTGCGCAAGTGCACGCATCAAGTAATAAAGGGAGTATTAATGCCCAAATTATCGTTCCCATGAGGATAGAGTGCTAATTATTGTTTTATCACTGTTTATAAAGAGTGAAAATGAGAAGAAAAGTTAGTAAATGAACTGTCTGGTCAAACGTTCCCTACTGTCTTGACAACGTTCCTCAGGAACAGTAGGTTCAACCTGATTACAAACAGTTGCTCGCTGCGTTATGTATGTGATCCTTCCTGTTTAGAAGAAGGTGAGATAACAATCATTGGAGTTTTTATAAGTACTAAATAAAATAAAATAAAATTACTAAAACAGAAATAACTATAATCAAGAGACAACAGGGTGGTGGTTAAAACAGTCTAACAGAAGGAACGGATTCACTGCTTCACTCTTAAAGGGGCTATTTTCTCTGCTCAAGACTTAACACCTTTTGGCTTTGTCCCAGTTTCTTTGCCTGCCAACTCTGATTCCTCAGCTCATAGTCTAGATGTCTCACAAGTTTCCATATTCCTATGGCTCCCTTGACTCCAACAGGTACTTAGTTCAGAATCTTAAAATGGACGAGTTGGCCCCTTATTCCTAAGGTGACCAGTAGCGTTTTTGCCATGACATCTACCTTCCCCCAATGGCTAAGCTGTCTGAAATTCCTTCCTTATGGAAGTTCCTTTCTCAGTATGTACCTTATTTCCATTGGCGCACAATGAATATAGCTTACTTAGCCAAAAAAATACAAAAAGCTTCGGTCAAGAGTTTTGAAAATAGTTCTTTAAGAGTTTCACAGTTTACCCGTTCCACAGATAGTTCAGCTCATGACTGATAGTTTAAACATAATTATTCTCAACTGAGATCACATAGACCCGAGATTCAGTCAAGAGATAACGATTGGAACGAAGAGAAAAACACTTGTACTAATTTAAAAGACAGTTTACAAAAAGAAACAGAAAATGGAGAAATATGGGTATTTGCTCGTGAGGAGTCTTGTTGGTTGTTTACAGAGAAGGAAAGAGGGGTTGTCGCTTAACTATAGTTACAACCAAAAATTAAACTAAGTTACTAACTACTACTAAGTGATCTCTTCCTTTCGGAATGCAAACCCTCCATGATTCGATGATGTTTTTGTGTGAGGGAGGTCCTATTTATAGCTGGAAGAGGAATGGCAAGACTGTAATTCCCTTGGAGCTAGTTGCTTGAATGAGGGGACGGGACTGTGGCAGCAGAGTGTGAAGCTTGCGTGAATTGCTGAATGGAACATGATTTGGTGATGATTAGCCGTTGTTTGCAGGCCTTCCCATGTTTTGCTTCTGTTTTCAGCCAATGAGAACTCTTGATTCTCTGCTCTTCACGTTTGCAGCTGCTCAGTTGGTGCACCGCCTTGCTTTTTAGAAGTCTTTAACTCTACGTTACCTGCAAAGTGTACAGAAGCATTAAATGAATGGAGAAGGTGCATTAAATGCGTCTCAGTTCGTTCCCTTTTTAATATATTTTAAAGGAATATGTTACCATCCGTTCCCCTATTGTGTTTTTGTCACAAATGTGTAAAACAAGTGATTTTCATGCTGAAGTTGCTCATAAGATGAGGGAACGTATGGTATTTTGCCATCAAAATGGGCTTAGATGGGAACGAATTTACGTCCCATCAAACACCCCAAAACTAAACTGTTGGTTGTCCTCAAACAACTCAAAAATATTGTATTAGTCTGCCCAATTTAAAAGAATAGCATAATAGAAAGGAACTTGAGCCAGCGAGCAACCATGAACTTTTCAAAAAATGAACTACTCTTCATAGTAAACAGTAAGAGGATTCTGTCCCCAGATAAGAGAAGGTTGCTGATCTTTTGTCTCACTATCACTCATGGGTTGGTGTTTTCTCTGTCCATTCATGGATGTGATTCTTCAGAACTTGTCTTTCTGCTGCGTTCCTATGAAGTACAGCTGTCTTCCGTTCCAAGAATTCTTTGATGGATAAGTGTATGGAAATGTGGAAGAAGTGGTGGTCTGATTTATGGAATCAAGGAACGTTTAGCTTTTGCGTCTTTGAACTTGGACTTTTTCTTTTTTTGAGGGAACATATTTTCTTGAACCTTTTTCCCCCTTTGGAGGAAGGTTTTCTGGTTTTTCTTGAATTCTTTTGAATGGTTGTTCCCCTTTTTCTTTGTTTTTCTTCTGTCCTTTTTTGTTCATTGTTGAGTACGCTCCTTGTTCTTTTTGATTGACCAGATGGTGTATGATGGGGGTGAGGTGAGTGTGTGATTCTGTTTTGATCCTTGACAGCAGAATTCATCTGTCTTTAGCAGTACTTACAGCATTAAGGCAATCTGAGAAGTTTCATTGTGGTTACACCTCAGGAACGCTCTCAGAAGTAGGCATTTTTCCGTTCCTTACCAGTTTGAGTTCACACAGATCAGCTTCTGTCAAAAATCTGAGGATTAAATTCCCTGCACTGTTTCTATTTTCAAGTACTCAGAGAGAGAACAAGCATGATTAGTCAGTGACTTTGTGTTTCATGTATGTTAGTTAATCTAAAAGAATTTGGGCAGTCTTAATACTATAACTGAAATGCATGCATATACCAAACAGTTTGATAAAAAAGAAGTCTTTTTTATTGCAAAAAGATTAATTACAAGGGAACAGAAAGAAACTAAATTAAAAACAGGATTGAAAACAAACTAAGCTAAGTTAAATAGGAGGGTTTCTCCTTTTCATTGTGGAGGTCTGTGGTTAGGGACCACCCCGAAACTACATTCTTGGAACGTACTTTATTTGGACTTTTTGGAGAGGAACATCAGACGTTCCCTCCTTTTCGAGAGCTATGATGGATAATCACCCCAAAACTTTGTTCTTTGTCAGAGAGCAAATGTATCTACTGGGTTGCCTCCCAGTCAGCACTTAGTTTAATGTCTTTAGCTAGACATGGTACTTACCTCTCAAGGGGTTTCAGTAAGAGGGATACTTTCCTCTTTTTCATCAAAGGTTTCATCATTGTATAGCTTCAACCTGTGCCCATTTACCTTGAAGGAACGACCATGTTCTGAACCTTGGATTTCGAAAGTTCTGTTTCCTGCATCGTTAATAATTTGATATGGCCCGGTCCATCTTGATTTGAGTTTACCTGGGAACAGTCTGAGTCTGGAGTTGAAGAGTAGCACCTTCTGATCGATTTTTAGATCTCTGTTCCTGATCCTTTTATCGTGCCACTTCTTCATCTTCTCCTTGTACAATCTATGATTTTCGTATGTGTTCCCTCTGAACTCCTCTAACTCTTCGAGTTGCAGCAATCTCTTCTCTCCAGCTGTTTTTCATCCAAGTTGAGGGTTTGGACTGCCCAGTAAGCCTTGTGCTCCAGTTCGAGGGGGAGGTGGCAAGCTTTGCCAAATATCTTTCTGTAAGCCCATAATGCCTCGTCTAACTTGAGAGACCAGTCTTTTCGAGAAGGATTAACTACCTTCTCTAAAATTCTCTTATCCTCTAGGTTAGAGACTTCAATGAGACCACTGGTTTGTGGATGATATGGGGTTGCAACTTTGTGTTTGACTCCATATTTCTCTAACAACCTCTCAAGTTGGCGGTTGATGAAATGTTTCCCTCCGTCGCTGATGAGACAACGTGGGGTTTCATATCTGGTTAATATGTTCCTCTTTAAAAATTTTATAACCACCTTAGCATCATTAGTGGGTAAAGCAACTGCTTCTACCCACTTGCTTACATAATCCACAACCATTAATATGAATTTGTTCCCACACGAAGGAGGAAAAGGTCCCATGAAGTCAATGCCCCAAACATCAAATAATTCAACTTCTAGGATCGGATTGAGGGGCATTTCATTTTGTTTAGTCAAGTTACCTTCTCTTTGACATTTATCACAATTTTTTGCATATTGAAGTGCATCTTTAAAAAGGGAAGGCCAGAAAAAACCTGACTGAAGAACCTTGGAGGCAGTCCTGATTCCACCTAGATGTCCTCCATATGGGGACGAATGGCAGTGTTGAAGGATTTGAGGTTGTTCTTCTTCTGGGATGCACCTTCTTATCATTTGGTCTGCGCATCTTTTGAACAGTAGTGGTTCGTCCCAGAGGTAGTTCCTGCAATCGTGAAAAAATTTCTTCTTCTGCATTTTATTCGCCTCATAAGGTTCCTGCCCTGCTGCAAGGAAGTTGGCTATATCAGCAAACCAAGGACCATCTGTCTCTATATGATTAATGACAAACAATTGTTCGTCAGGGAACGTTTCCTTGATTGGTAGCCCCACTTCAATATGTTCCAATCTGGACAGATGATCTGCAATTTGATTTTCACATCCCTTTCTTTCTTTGATCTCCAGATTGAACTCTTGTAGCAGTAGGACCCATCTTATCAATATTGGTTTTGCTTCCTTTTTTGAGAAGAGGTACTTGAGAGCTGCATGGTCAGTAACTTTTGATCCTAAAATGTTGATTTTTTCACAAGCATATACTACAGCCAATAGCTCCTTTTCAGTGACTGTGTAGTTTACCTGAGCTTCATTTAGAGTTTTACTGGCGTCATATATGCTACGAAAAAGTTTGTCCTTCCTCTGGCCCAGAACTACCCCAATAGCATGATCACTTGCATCGCACATTAGTTCAAAGGGTAAGTTCCAGTCTAGAGGTTGGATGACAGGCGTGGTAATGAGCTTATTTTTCAAAGATTCAAAAGCTTTCACACAGTCAGAGTTAAACTCAAATTTTATATCTTTTTATAATAAATGGCACAAAGGTCTAGCTATTTTGGAAAAATCTTTAACAAACCTTATGTAAAAGCCTGCATGCCCTAAAAAAAATCTCAAGGTTTTTACACTTACTGGTGGCGGCATTTTTGCTATAGCTTCTACTTTGGCTTGATCCACTTCGAGTCCTTCTCTGGAAATTTTGTGTCCCAGGACTATTCCTTCTTTCACCATGAAGTGGCATTTTTCCCAATTAAGCACTAGATTAGAGGACAGACACCTTTGAAGGACTTCTTCTAAATTGTCCAAGCAGTGATCATATGACGTCCCCAGTACTGAAAAATCATCCACAAAGACTTATACTCCTTCACCTATTAGATCGGAAAAGATTGAGAACATACACCTCTGGAACGTTGCTGGTGCATTACATAACCCGAAGGGCATCCTTCTGAAAGCGAACGTTCCATATGGGCAGGTGAAGGTGGTTTTATGTTGATCTTCTGGTGCCAAAGCAATTTGATTATACCCCGAATATCCATCAAGGAAGCAAAAGTATTCTTTTCCTGCTAGGTGGTCCAGCATCTGATCTGTAAAAGGGAGTGGAAAATGGTCCTTCTTGGTGGCATTGTTGAGCTTCCTGTAATCTTGGCAGATTCTCCATCTTGTAACCTTTCTCACAGGTATCAGCTCATTCTTTTCATTCTTTTCCATTGTGATGCCTCCCTTTTTGGGGACGCATTGGACAGGACTTACCCAACTGCTGTCAGATA